AAATAAAGAAAAATAATACAATTAAGCGGCATGTGCTTTACCTACCATTTGAAAGATTTTCCTTGTCTTTCAACAATCCCAAAAAAATTGTTAATATCGGATCTTTTTCTTTTCCTAGAATGTCACTTTCCTTTATTCTTACCAATTCTTCAAAAAAAGAATCCCAAGTTTCTAACAATAACAGTTGCTTGCCATGAAATAATATTTCAAAATCAGCATCAATCTGCAAAACCTTATATTCAACTATATAAAATTAAATAAAAAAATAAGTATCAGTAGATACATTAGTTTGTGATTTTGTGATCATAAATAAATAAATAATACCAAAGAATATGATCAAGGATCACCAATTATAGGCCAAGATAAAATAAATTCTGTCAAATTGCTAGATTCATTATTTATGCGCATTTTATGTGTATCTCTCCATAAGTCCAAAACCTTTGCCCATGGTTCTATATTATACTTAAGCCAGGTTGCTGCAGCATTTTCATCTTTAAAATAGAATACAAAAATTAGTATTTTTCAGACAAAAATAATATGTATATTATAATTACAAGATCAAACGAACTTACCTAAGAGAAGTTCGATCTTGATTATATGAAGTCTCGTCGAAATAAATAATTAATAATTGTAGTTCCTCTACTCCTGCACTGAATCACACGTTAAAAGCTAAAAAATTGAAATTCTTGGGTGACTAATACCCTTATCAGTCCCTACGCCAATTTCATAACTCATTTCTTTAGAGTTTTCTTAGAGAATAAAAAATTTTGCTCTATCCCATGGGTGTTTTAGGGTGTGGAGGGTAATTATTTATTTCGGCGAGGCTTCATATAATCAAGATCAAACTTCACTTAGGTAAGTTCGTTAGATCTTGTAATTATATTTCAGCCTCGTCTTCTAAATAATTAATAATTGTAGTTATTTAGAGAAAAGCAAATTTATTTTCTCTACAAATATAATAAATTCTTTATGTAAAAGTATTATATAAACTGTAAATATAATTAAATAATATAAAGTAAATAAACATATCCTTAATTAAAACTCAAAGCCTTAATACTAATATAGACATTAATTATTATACTATTTTATGGTTAATACAGATTTAGCAAAATTGCAGTCTTGTACTATTGGCCGGTGATAGAAGTTTGCAAAAGTATTAAATTTTTCCGACCATCCTGCTGCTGATCTTATTACATCTAAACTAACCCCTTTTTCAGCTGCTGAGGATGTAGACGCATGTCTGGTACTGTGTGATGAAAATATGGATGTATCAATTCCACTTTTATTCAGCATTGTTTTTATCCAACTGCTAATGGTTTGGACTGAAGCGTTATGATGCGGTCTTTTATATGTAATAAATAAATTATTACAAGATTGACCTCTTAAAGGTGCCGTCCTCTCTAAATATTCCGACAGAGTAGTGGCGACACAGAGACTTTTCTCGTGCTCAAAATATGGGAGTTGAAGAGTAGGTTGAGGTTTGTTCGGGCCAGATGTTTTTATTAGCTTGCTAATTTTTATAATAATATGTGCATTATTTATTATAATACCATTTAATTCAATACTGGCTAATGTTTGAACTCGTTGTCCCATAGCCAAAGCTAATAGAATGGCGAGTTTAAGCGTAAGGTCCTCTAGGGACAAATTATTTGACAATTTCCGAATAAACCTTAACACTATCTCTGGATCCCAAGTAATATTATACTTTGCAGTACCTGGCCGTAATTTAAATACTACTCTAAAAAACCTTTTTACCCTAAAATCTTGAGGTATATCTGATGTAGCAATTTGACTTATAGCCAAACGGTAAGTATTAAGACTACTATAAGAAGCTCCGTTATTAAAAGCAATGTTAAAAATTCCAACAATAAGGGTACAGTTATTTTAAAAACATTAGCCTTTTTTTTACTGGTACAAAATTCCCACCATAATTTTAAACCTACATTATATTGTCTAAGAGTGGAGTCGGTGACTGAGGCAGCACAAATGTCTAAGGATGCTTCTGGAACTGATCCTGCTCGAAGTGCCTCCATGATAAAAGTCCTGCAACCAGGGTAAGGTCTCTCCATAAAGGGTGTGGTTTTCTGTCAGGAAGATAAAGTAAATTTAGATTTGGTTTCAAGTAAAGTGGTTCGCCTTTTAGTAAAGACTTGAATAAAGGAAAACACGGTTGAGAAGGCCAAAAAGGCACTACCACTACTCCTTTGGCCCGATCTTGCTGGATCTTTCGGAGTGTTTTTAATATCAAGCAAAATGGTGGGAAAGCATAGAAAAACCGATCTCCCCAAATATTGTAAAAGCATCTATAGCGTAAAAATCTGGACCCTTAACCATGAAACAACTTCTTTACACTTACTGTTGTTTCGGGATGCAAAAAGATCTATTTCCGGGGTTCCAAATAGTCGTATTATATTTTGGAAAAGCCTCATTTTTTAACTCCCATTCTGTGTCCGAATTCACAATTCTTGATGCTCTATCAGCCTCTATATTTTCTGAAGATCTTACGTAGGATGCATATAAATAAATATTTTTGTTCTGACACCATTGCCAGATTTTTCTACTTAAACTATTTAAATGATCAAATTGTACACTACCAATTCGATTAATATATGATAGAGCAGTTGTATTATCTATTCTACATAGAATATCACAATTAGACAACCCCTTTGCAAAACGTTTAAGTCCAAAAAATACTGCCAATAATTCCAAATAATTTATGTGAAACTCTCTTTCTGTCTCTGTCCAACTACCAAATGAACTCTGACCCTTACAGTACGCCCCCCACCCTGTTTCTGATGCATCTGTAAACAATTCAATTTTAAAAACTTTATGTTTGATAGAATTTTCTGTATGCATAATGTTTTCCGCCCACCATAGAAGATCTTCTTTTAGATTTTCAGATATACTTATTATACTTTCAAAATTACCGTGGTTTCTTTTTAAATATAAAAATGTCTGTTTTTCAAAAGCTTTAGTATACAACCATCCATATCGCACAGCTGGACAAGAAGAGGTTAAAACTCCTAGAACCCTTGCAAATTCTATTATTTTACATTTTTTCTTTTTTACGAATTGTTCCATATATTGAGCTATTCTTAATCTTTTTTCCCCTGGTAATGAAATAGTCATTGTAGTTGAATTATAAATAAAACCTAAATATTTGATCATTTGGTTAGGCACAAGTTTACTTTTCTGGTAGTTTACTACAAAAACTAGTCTTCCTAAAAGATGCAATGTTTCATTAACATTTTTCTGGCAAATTCTTGCAGTTGCACCTAACAGTAAAAAATCATCTAAATAAATGACGGATAAAAAACCTTTTTCTTTTAAAACCTTCACAACCGGTTTCATTATTTTTGTAAAAATGTAAGGAGCGGAAGATAACCCGAAATGCATGCAATTATATTGATAAATTTTGTGATTGAATTTGAAACATAAATATTTTCTATCTGAATCTGCTATACTGACTAATAAATAAGCATCTTTTAAATATATTGTGGCCATAAAGAAATTTTCACAAACTAAATTGGAAACGGTCCGAAAATCTTCGAGTTTAAAATGAAATGTCTATGTATTTATTTAGTGATTTTTTAAGATTTAAAATTAGTGTTTTGGAACCGTCCGGTTTTGAAGTTAGAAAAACATTAGACAGAAATTGACCTTTTTCCGGATGTACTTCACTTATCGCTCCAGATTCTAGTAAAATCTAAACAGAAGCATGAATTTGCGAAAATTATAATAATGACCACTTCGGTTCTTTTGGAGCAACTTTATGACGAAGGACTTTAATAAAAGGTAATTTTACTCCCTTAATCCAGGATAGTACAATTTTGTCTTTAGTAACTTTACACCAGCTACTACAATAAGTACTCAATCGACCTGCAATATTACTAACCTGTTCTCCTATTTTCGATTTTCCTCTCGTCTCCTGTATGTTTTCTTTTGGTTTCGAGCTACTTGAGGGTTTCTGTAATTCTGGTTCCTGTAATCCATGGGAGGTCTTGCTTGTCGATGATGTCCGCTGCTCCGGCCTGCTCCCCTTAACGTTGCCTGAGGCGGACCTCTGAAGTTTTTGAGATCTGTTTCCGGGTTGGGTTATTCTTTGTTTGTAATTGTAAGGATGTCCGTTCTATATCCTTTGCGGCTTTAACTCTCTCTTCAAAGTTAGTTCCAAATAACCACTCATCTATTGGTGCCTCTGTTAATGTACCCTTAAAAAATCCTTATTTAAATTGTAAGCGGCTAATTTTCTTCTTGAGATCGTTTCAGAATGATGTACATCTGCCAACAGTCTTCCAGCATCGCTTAGGGACTTAATGTGTCGTCGAGTTATGTCTGTTAGCTCCTTTTCTTCTAACATAGACGTCAATACTGCACCAATGGCTGTTAGGCTTGCTCCAATTTGTGACTGCAACCCCTGCAGTCGAGTGTCTCTATTGTTTACTGATTCTGACAATGCTGCTATCGCCAAAGGGTTTAGTTTTGGAGCTCTAAGTATCTGACAGTTGCTGGGCGGGGGATGTTTTTTAACAGTGGAACCTCGTTCTTCCTCGGATAACCCACCCTTTACTATGCTTAACCACCTGTCTGCTAACATCTGTTCTAACGGAGTCCCAGTAACTTCTCTTTTTTCAACATTTTCACCCAATAAGGACACAACATCCTCACTAAGTTTAGAATCCTCCGTTGTTGGAGGCTCTTGTCTGTCTGAAATTTTTTGTAAAAGGAAAAATAAGTTATTTTTGCTACAACCAATATTAATATTTTATTTATGCTATAACAATAAATTATTTATGCTATCACAAGCATTTAATTATTTATGTTTTCACAAACATTTATTTATGCTCTCACAAGCAGTAGTTATTTATTTATTTTTTAATTTTGTAATCTATGCTATCACAAGCATCTATCTATTTATTTTTTACCATCACAAGCATCTGTATCTATGTTTTTTATACATTTGTTTTTACTTATACGAATACACGCATTATGCTGTCACCAGAAATTATTTATGCCATCCCAAGCAATCACTAATGCTATCCCAAGCATTCATTTATGCTATCACAAGCATTTATTTATTTATGCTATCCCAAGCGTATATTTATATCTGCTATCCCAAGCATTCATTTTTGCTATCACAAGCATTTATTACAGTAAATGAAAATAAAAAAGGAAATGCCCGGTGTGAAATCGCTTACCTTCAACAATTTATCCGTCTTCAGAGCCTGAACAAACGTATTCACTATATGTATCACGTGATGTGGATGGTAAGTCTCTCCAATCTACTTGATTTTTCCTACCAATCTTATAATCTCCATCATCACTGCAAGTATTGGAAAATTCCGAATCACTTTTCTTCTCCGGTTTTTGTAAATTGTTTAGTTTCTTTTTTAACCTCTTAATTTTTTGTTCTAAATCACTTTCACTTTCACTTCGGCGTCGCCTTTTAGAATTTTTAGGCATTTTCAAATATAATAAATAACTAAAAATCCTATAAATTTTAAATCGATGTTAATGATTCAGCACACGAACAAAGAATGAGTTATGAAATTGGCGTAGGGACTGATAAGGGTATTAGTCACCCAAGAATTTCAATTTTTTAGCTTTTAACGTGTGATTCAGTGCAGGAGTAGAGGAACTACAATTATTAATTATTTAGGAGACGAGGCTGAAATATAATGGTATTTTAAATTCTTAAAAAAATAACTATACAATTTACACAATAAGGTTTTAACACTTTCTAATGATTTAATTAAGTGAGACTGAAAGTAACATCCTTAATGATATATAAAATAATAAAATATTATACCTTCTGAATATATGTTTTGTCTTTTGGTAGGATTATCTGAGATTTTTTTCTTCTAACGTATGTTTCATCTGGGCTTATATATAATAAATTCCTCGCTTTTGATACCAATTTTCCTTTACTGTGTGTTACTAAATTATTCATTTTTCTGCTAGAAGAATAATATATGGATGCACATTCAGATGGAAAACATGCTATAATTTTTGAGCACAATATAATATATTGTGTGTGAGTAAGGCGACTGAAAAAAAAACAGTTATTAACGGGGTATATTATAAATATAAAAAAACTTACTGTTTCATAATATAAGAATATATTATGCTTTATGATTATGTCAACCAGTTTGTTACGCATGTATTCATTTTTCCCATAATAATTTAAAATTAAATCCCCATAAGGATAAAGGGGCAATAAAGTTTTTAGTTCGAAATCGGGAATGTGTTTCTTGGGTAAGAAAATTCTCCATGCCACAGAAAGAAATTGCTCTATTATCATTTAGAGCAACGGTATACATTGTGTTATTGCTGCTAGTACGTTCTGATTCACTAATATTAGTGTTAATTTGGTTATTTTCATGAATAACCTGTAAATTATAAAAAATATTTATATGGGTAAAAAAAGTAAGAACCGAGTTTTAACTTTGGAAGCGAAAACTTATTTTTTAAAAATGAAACTTTATTAACTTTTGTGAACTTTAACAATGCTAACTTTTTGAGAACGTATTCTAATACAAGAACAAAGTATCGAGTCTAAATGAATAATGAATAAATAATACATGTTTAAGTATTTATATGAAAGAAAAGTAACATTATCTTGTTTACAATATATACAAGGTTACAATTATATTTTAGGTGATTTAAAGAAATATCTTGATATAACTCCTCCCTTCCTAAGATTCGGAAAATATGGAAGCTAATCGCTGCGTTTTCTACAGGAACTTTTGGTTTCTTTCTTCTTCTTAATTTTTCCAAAAGTAATCTTCTATGTTTGACTAGTAGCAAGATGATAATAATGAGTAGTATAACTACTATAGTAGAACCAAATAGTGAATTGTTATACGGGATGTCCGTTATTTCTTGAATAGGTCTGAGTTGTTTGGAAATCATTGAGTTCGTGTAAGTCATCAAAATCGAGTTTCGTAATATTCGAAGTTTCAAAATGTTTTGATGAATGTAAAGTTTCTGTTTCGATCCTTGGTAAAATAAATGGTTTGCCTGGGCGAATTTGAATATTATTTATAAATTTCTTGTTTCCAGTCCAAATTTCGCAATTTTCGGGTATCTTGATTAAAGTAGGTGATATTATTTGTATGTATTGATTACTTTTGCATTTAGAAAATATTTGCTCTGGTTTCGCTGGGATTATTAATATATTATCCATTGTAATTTGTTCAATAATTAATTCTTGCACTTTAACATCTAATATATGGCAATCTGTAGGGGTTAATCCTTCCAGGAGTTGGAGGGTACAGTTATCTCGTGGTACAAAGTTTTGTTTACAATAATAGTTTTCTTCTAATGAAGGACATTCTTCTTTTTCGAATTGCGGGTTATATTTCTTCCGTGCCAGGTAAGGAAATAAGGGAGTATACATTTTATTGGTTTGTATGATAGGGAACAAGTGGTAAAATTCAAAGGTATTATAATAAAGAATTGGTACGTGAATTGCAAAGATTAACTTATTTTCTGAAATTAATACTTGTGTTCCCAAAAATTGGTAATATGTTAGAATATTTCTAAATTTAGGCACTTGATTTTCATTGTAAATTCTGTATAAATATTTAATCATATCAGTTATTTCAGAGCTTGAAACTATAGAATTATGTAATGAGTTTAATTTTGCAAATGTGATAGCATTTTCAAGGTTATCTATAAAATTAATAGTTGTTTGGCAATCTAGATTAATTTGCGATAATATGCTCTGAAGGCTCAGATAACTCTCTAAAGATTTTATTTGATTGAAGAATGATGCTTGTATTTTATTTAAATCCCTTCTGAAGTTTTCCTGATTTTTGCTTAATACTGTAATAGACTTATTGTAATTCTTAATTGATTTTTCTTGTAATGAAATTTGTAAATTAGTTTCTTTTATTATATTTTGTTGATTTATTTGTAGAGTGTTAATAGCTTTATTATATCTCGTCATCGGAATCTAATGTTCCAAAAAGCCATTTGTTTATCTTTCCTATTCCGTTAATTACACCTCTTTTAACTCTAATATTATTTATTTTGTTTTGAACTAAATTAATTAGGTATTCTGTTCTCGCTAGCATATTTAATGATAAACTATGATAAGATATAGGGTTAGTAATTTAAATATTTGTTGATACCTTTTCTTTAATAATATTATAATGGTTAATTATTATATTTATTTGATCAATAAGCGTCTTAATATCTACATAGTGAAGGAACGTATGTTTACTATAGATTAATTTGGCGTTCCCTAATTCTATTGGTAAGAGAAAACTCTCTAACTTCGTAATTTCAATGTCTTCTTCAAAGCTTCGATGTGCTTGGGAAAGCAGACAAATCGTCGTTAATATGAGGAGTTGCATTTGCATCGTTTTCTTTATCCTGCAACAATTTATCTAGATTATTTCTCGGTTTCCGCATTGTACTTTTATGATAGTCACCTGAATTAGTTTGTATTGAAATACCTTTATCTTTTATTATTTGTTTTGGAGTTAATTTAGGAAGTTTTTTATCTCTATTTTTTGTTTTTACATAACAGATTTCTTCGTTTGAATAATCAGGTTGATTTTCTTTATTTTCATTTAGTTTATTAATTATTTTCTCTTTAACTTCTTCGTTTTTATTTTTATTTTATTATACAATTGTTTTGTAACTTCTTTATGGTTTTGAACGTAGTTGGATATAATTAAATGATCATTTAGATCAAAAGGATCTGGGTTACCTATGTGACCTTTTATTACTTCAAATGGGGTAAACTTGGTTATAGAATGTATAGAATTATTATAACAAAATATTGCGTTTCTTATAATTTGATTAGGGGTGAGTTCTTTATTTTCTTGAGAAATACATCGATAATTTTCAATTAAAGTAGAATGAAATCGTTCCACAGGGGAATTAGAATTACTGTTTTTAGCAGTTGTGTAATGTAATTGAATATGGTGCAATTTACAAACATCATTTAAATCAAAATTTTTAAATTCAGTACCGTTATCGGTTGTGATCTTTTGGGGTAATCCGTGATGAGATATAAAATCTAAAAGTCTATCTACGACTGAAGTGCCTGTGACACGATTTAAAGGATACGCTTGTCCATATCTAGAAAATGAATCTATTAATGTTAGAAATGACTTTCCTGATATATAAATGACATAAAGGGGTTACTTGCAGTAGGGGTAAGAGTAGTATAAGGATGTATTGTTGTGATATTCACTGTCACTTCATAACCAAAAAATTAAAAAAAATACAACACACCTCAACTTACCTTGGCTAGCTAATTTTTAAATATATTTTATCATTTTTATAGAGCAGATTCTCTTTGTCTCAATGGTGTCGGTTCCAGAAATAAAATACTTTATAAACTTAATTTAATGTTTTTTTATTTAATTATTTATTTATTAAATTTCTTTTATTTAGTTTATTTAGTTTATTTAGTTTATTTAGTTTATTTAGTTTATTTAGTTTATTTAGTTTATTTAGTTTATTTAGTTTATTTAGTTTATTTAGTTTATTTAGTTTATTTAGTTTATTTAGTTTATTTAGTTTATTTAGTTTATTTATTAAATAGTAGCAACAACAATTCCAACAGTAAACTACCTTAACTATAATTTATATAATAATTAATTAATAATATTATGTGTTATTATTGTTAATTGTATCACCCTGTAAAAAAAATACTTTTTATTAAATAGACAAATTGTATGTACAAAAGTTCAGAATGTATTATCAATAAATTATACAAAGTTCAAATCTCTGAACATCCACAAAATTGTCTATCTACTAACTTAATTAATCTAACCATACATTCATCATCATACATACACATTTACTAATTACTGTTGTAAACAATTTAACAAATAAATTCCTGTAAATTTTACTTCTACAATCTAACTATTTACACCTCTATAATTCAAAATCTACCTTGATAAGTTTCAATGTGACATTAAAAAAAATTTTGACGTTTAAATTTTCAAAATGTAACTATTCTAAATCATTTACATTTCTAATATTTAACTGTCCGGCATCAATTTCAAAGTAAATATAGTTGGGATATCAATAGCAAATTGTCTATTACGATATCTTACACTAAAACAACATTATTACTCACACGTAAATGTCTTTTCTTTTATCCAGATCTAAATCCAGAATTTTCTTTCATTGAAGTCCACAGTTCAGGTATTCAGCTTTCACCATATTCTTTTGTAATAGTCACCATATACTTTTACAAGTTTACTTTTATTATACAGCTGGGTAATACAACTTGTCTACTTTCGTATTTCTTACTTAAATGTTTCAACCTTTTTTAAAACTTTATAAATGTAATGAGACTCTAAATTTTGATAATTTCAAACGAACATTTTTTTTTTCCGTCGAATCCTTTTTTTTTTATTATCCCACGTCTTCTCGGATATTACTCTGACTTTTCTTAATTAATTTGACATCTCCTTTGACAATTTTTTTTTTAAGAATTTGCTGTACAGGGTGATATTTTTAAATTTATTATTCACCAAATTTTTATTACACTGATCAACTTTAATTTTAAACTCTTGATGACTCATTTCTATTACAGTATGTGCATAATGTGCGACTTAATGAGCTACCCCCTCCTCCAAAATGTGTGAACCGGTTTGACCGGATACCTGGTTGATGACCTCGTTATATTAATCATATAAAACCCATGTATGTCCAAAATGTGCAAACCGGTTTAACCGGATCCTGAATAGAATAACTAGCTTGAGTGGTTGATGACCTCATTATATAAATCATATAAACCCATGTATGAGCATAATGTGTGAACCGGTTTAACCGGATCCTGAATAGAATAACTAGTTTGATGGTCAGAGGGTTAATGACACATGTCTAGACACATGATATTCAACAATACATACACATACTCACATATCAAATATATTAATCAAAAACAAGATAGAATTCAAAGGGGGATTATTTTATCTACAACTTTTACATATTTTACTCTTTAAAAAATATTTCAATTATATTAGTTAATTATCCTACAAGAACTTCGAAAATACTCAAAAACAAGAAATAATTTTAGGTACCTAAATTATTTTTTGAACTCACAAAAAAGTTATTTTTGTTATATTGTTCATAAAAATGAACCAGCTGTATACCATAATAAAAATCATTAGTATAATAAAGTAAAGCAAAAACCAGATTAAACACAAGAAATATAATTATAAAAATTATTGTTCTTGATAAATTCACAATTATTATGCCCATCCTGTATATTCTGAAGACAAAGAAAATGTATCAAAGCATACACACCTGCATAAAATGTATAAAAAATGCAAACTAAAAATAAATTCCAATGATAAGTACATGTACCAGATTCTTAAAAAACAGACTTCAACTACAGTACAAATAAAATGCATTAAACCAGTACCTATTTAAAAAATGCATGCCATTATGAAAATTATTCTTAA